GTCTTTTCATGTGCTTATGCTATCTCCTCAAATAAATGATTAATTATTTATGGGCCAGAAATTGTCCTTTCCCCCGTCCTATTTCTTTTATGGTGTGAGCAATGTCATGGACACTCTTCTATTCAGAATAAGAAGTTATCATTCAGGGAATAATTACATACATTATGCTACTATTTGGAACACCCATTATTTCAGGTACAGAGTGTGCCTCTTCCACCTTCCCTCTCTTCCTCGTTTCTTTCCTTCTTTTTTCTTCTTTTTCTCCTATATTGTGTTAAATTTCTTTTTAATTTTTTGTTTATTTCATTTTATTTACTTGAAAAGTAAAAGACACACAAAGAGCTCCAGTTCATTGGTTCATTCCCATAAATGCCTAAAAGAGCCAGGACTGGGCCAGGCAGAAGCCAGGAGTTGGGAATGCATTCTGGGTCTCCTAAGTAAGTGTCAGGGACCCAAGCTCTTGAGCAACCATCTGCTCTCTTCCAAAATGTATATTAATAGGTAGCTGGAGGCCGGCGCCGCGGCTCAATAGGCTAATCCTCCGCCTAGCGGCGCCAGCACACCGAGTTCTAGTCCCGGTCGGGGCACCGGATTCTGTCCTGGTTGCCCCTCTTCCAGGCCAGCTCTCTGCTATGGCCAGGGAGTGCAATGGAGGATGGCCCAAGTGCTTGGGCCCCGCACCCCATGGGAGACCAGGAGAAGCACCTGGCTCCTGCCTTCAGATCAGCGTGGTGCGCCGGCCGCAGCGCGCAGGCCGCGGCGGCCATTGGAGGGTGAACCAACGGCAAAAGGAAGACCTTCCTCTCTGTCTCTCTCTCTCACTGTCCACTCTGCCTGACAAAAAAAAAAAAAAAAAAAAAAAAAGGTAGCTGGAATAGGGAAAGGAGAAAGGACTTGAAGCTTGGCAGTCCAATATGGGATGAGGATATCCTAAGTAACATTTTAACCACTATACCAAACACCCATCTATGCTAAATTTCTTTCTAATAAAAGAAAATATATTTTCTCCAATGTAGGTTTGGTTGAATTGGTAACAAAAAACTGCTCAGTAGGTAACTCTTAGGAAGACAGATTTCACAAAGAACAGAAAGACCGTCTTATTTAATTCTTACATTAAGACTGCAAGGCTTTGGGCCGGCGCCGCGGCTCAATAGGCTAATCTTCTGCCTGCATTGCTGGCACACCAGGTTCTAGTCCTGGTCGGTCGGGGTGCCAGATTCTGTCCCGGTTGCTCCTCTTCCAGTCCAGCTCTCTGCTGTGACCTGGGAGTGCAGTGGAGGATGGCCCAAGTGCTTGGGCCCTGCACCCCATGAGAGACCAGGAGAAGCACCTGGCTCCTGCCTTTGGATCAGCACGGTGTGCCGGCCGCAGCGCGCCAGCCGTGGCGGCCATTGGAGGGTGAACCAGCGATAAAGGAAGACCTCTCTGTCTCTTTCTCACTGTCCACTCTTCCTGTCAAAAAATAAAAAAAATAAAAAAAATAAAGACTGCAAGGCTTTTAAAACATGGAAAACCAACTCAGGAGAGTGCAAACTACTTCACCTACATCTGACAGCTGGGTGAGTGGTCCAGACAGAAGCTAAACCCACATCTGAAGGACACCACAGCCCATCCTTTTTGGGGCTTTCCGCAATGATTCCAAACTGGTTGTAAATTGAGTACCTCTCAAATTCTGATTAGTTTCTTTCTTATAGGAGAACAAAATTCAGTCCCAGGAGTGCACATATGCTTTCAGTTTTTCATATCTCTGAGCTTTTCGTGACGATTTTGAAATTGCCTAAATATAGGCTCCTATTGACATACAGTTCCCTTTTATTTTGCTCATTTCTTCCTCCCCGTTTTCCTCTTTCCTCCCATTACTATTTCTGTCTTTATTGTCAGTACACCTTCGTTGTTATCAACAACATTTCTTCCTAGAACTAGATGAATAAATTGTTATTATAAAATAGTTCCTATTTGTTCCTTCCATTCTATTAGTAGCCACACAATCCTGCCTGTTTTAAAATAAAAATATTGTGTGCTGAATATATTGTTGTATAATACCTCAACAATATCTGCAAGACTGCTTCATCTAGAGTATAAATGAAAAATCACCATTTAGTAAAACATAGTTAAAGTTAACATATATGAAGAAAGGTAAGTGGATTTATTCTGAATCACAAAGCTTCCTCCAACATTCCAATTTTAAAATAAGAGCTCAGATTATAGGATGGTCTATCTTTTTTTTAAAACAGATTACTTATTTATTTGAAAGGCAGAGTTGAGAGAGAGAGAGAGAGAAGAGCAAAGAAAAAGAAAGAGAAAAAGAGAGAAAAAGAAAGAGAAAGAGAGATCTTCCATCCTCTGGTTCACTCTCCGAATGGCTACAGTGATTGGAACCATATCAATGTGAAGCCAGGAGCCAGGAGCTTCTCCTGGGTCCCCCATGTGGTTTCAGAGGCCCAAGTACTTGGGCCAGCCTCTGCTGATTTCCCAAGCAACATTGGCAGGGAGCTGGATTAGAAGTGGAGTGGCTGGGACTTGAACTGGCATCCATATGGGATGCTGGTGCCACAAGCGGCAGCTTTACCTGCCAAACCAGAGTTGGCCCCAGAATGGTCTATCTTTACTTTGCACCTTGAGGTAAAATAGAACCTATCAGAATGTATATTGTTGCATATTCTTATTTGGTGAAAACTTCCTGATTATTAGCTCAGCAACTAGATGTCCTTCTGTGAAATACCAGGGTGGTTAGCAGATTGGAAATACTTTTTTTTTGGCAGGACAATTCTCTCAAACTATTCTTACTGTCCTCACAACTAAGCAACTATCATTTTTCAGTGAGTTGTAATTTAAAAAGCACCAACTCTGTTTTAGGACATAACTGGACTTTATCCTGCTGCTGATACTAATTGGGTGATCCTAGGCCATTTCATTCAACCTCACTAAGCCTCAGTTTCCATTCAAATCATTCAGGGACTCTATTCTTGTTAACACTAGAAGGCCTAAACTCCCAGAAATTTTGAGGAGAATGGAGAAAGCTTGAGTTTGTAGAAGCTGCTGGTAGGCATCTCTTATGAAAAACAGCTCATCAAGCAACATCTGGGACATGGCCAGATAAGGCTATCCTATTGCTTTGCTATTTTAGCCAACCTGTATTCATGACTGCATGTGCATTAATGCCTTTCTTCCTCTTCTCCCTCCAACCCTGATCCTGTACAAAAAGGAATAGAAAGACTAGGATATGGAGTTAGTCCTTAATCAGCTCATCATCTATGACATTGATATTCCTGCCAGCTGTTATTAAATCCATCTCTTCTGTAAGACTGGCCTTCCATGAAGAGCCAGTCTGGATACTTTTAGGGACCACTATTTGGGATAAACTGTGTGATAATTGCACTTGGCTGGCCACACACATTCTTTCTCATCCCTAATCTTACATCCTCTCTACCCTTGGGAGTAGCATCTCTCTCTTAGGGTGTAATTACTGGAAAGGAAAGTTGGATTTATGATGCATAAACAAAACCCAAAGGACCCCAATAGTTCAATTGTGAATTTCTATATGAATAGGTCAATAATTATAAGCCTTAGTTGTTATGAAGCATTTCATAGATGTGGGCAGAGGTAAATTTTGAAAGTAAGTCAGAAGCATAAGGGAAACAGATGCGAAACAGTCAGGATTTCTGGGCCCTGACAAAAGATGGTACATTATTAGCTGCAGTGACCTACCCATGAACCTAGAATGAAGATAATGAGAGCAGCAATCATTACTTATTATGTCAGATATTGGCCCATGAGACTTAAACATATTTGATTTCCACAGAGATTCTGGGATGTAGGCATTCTCATCATTTTATTCCCACTTTGTGGATAGGTAAACTGAGACCAAGATTATAAAATTTGTCACAGTTACAAAGGTAATAAAGCTGAAGTTGAAATGCTAATCCACATAACTCATTATAATATTAAATTCCAAAGAAAAAAGACAGAAAATGTGAAAATCAGGAAGTTGAGAGTAAGAGAGAATCAAAACCTATATCAACAATCTGTTATTTTTTCCTAGAGATGTGACCCAGTTTGAAGAAAAAATATTTCTATGACAAATATGATATACTAATAGAAAAATAAAGCAGTGTGTGATTAAGAGGAATAATTTAATAGAGGAACTGGGATTTAGCAGACTGAATAAACTAGTCACATCTTACAAATAACAGGATAGAGCATTTACTAAAAATACAAACAGAAAGGATGCTCATGGGCTCTGAGCTAGGATGTGACTGAGTGGGAGAGGGTGAGCAATCACAGAGATGGAGCCAGAAGGATGTCAGCGTCCAGAGCTGCTTCCAGTGGGTATTAGAACAAGTCCTTGCTCTTCCTAGCAGCTAGAGCACAAGAAAGCCAGCTCTTAATTAAACAGGAATCAATGTTGTCTTCAGCGGTTCATCAAGGTCTCTGTTGAGATTTGTTTCCATAGTTTCTTATTTTCTTTGGCCTTATTTCAACAAATGATATGTTTTTTGAAAAAGGAAAATAAAAATCATAAGATAATTGGTTTTTACTTTATAAAAAGATTAATTTATTTATTTGAAAGATAGAGTTAGAGAGAGAGAGAGAGAGAGAGAGAGAGAGATCTTCCATCTGCTAGCTCACTCAGCAAATTACTACAACAGTTAGAGCTGGGCCAGACCTAAGCCAGGAGCCAGGAGCTTCTTCTGGGTCTCCCACAGGGTGCAGAGGCCCAAGGGCTTGGGACATTCTCCACTGCTTTCCTAGACTCATTAGCAGGAAGCTGGATGGGAAGTGGAGTAGCTGGGATGGGAACTGGTACTCATGCAGGTTACCAGTGTTGCAAGCGGGAACTTCACTTACTACCCCACAACACTGGCCTGGACAATTGGTTTTTAGAGCATGCACGCAGACCCTGTAGCCCACCTATCCACTGGGAGTGGGAGATGGGGATCTGAAATGAGAGGCTGAAATGTACTCAGCCAGTACAATTCAGATCAATAAAAATACCGGTCAGAAGAAGAGAAAGAGCAAAATTAACTCTTAAACTGCTTTATACCCAAAATAAATGTCTTCAATTTCCCTTTAAAACATTAATACACAAGTCTAAGATCATAATCCCCTTCATTCTGCATCTATTTCATTTCACATAAACATTCTGCCATCTTGAAATTCAAATTCGGTGTCAGAGCTGATTTTCTTCTCCAAATGATGTCTCAACCTCTCAATTCCTTCCTCTCAAAGTGTTGTCTGTTACAAAGGGTAGATTACTTCACCTGTTATGCCTCAATGTCATCATCTGCAAAATGGAGACAAATATTACCTCATAGTTGTCTATTAATCATATGTTTTCCATCAATTGTAGGATTAAAATAAGATTGAAAAAGTATAGCATGAAAACCACACAATAGATACTATTTTTCTTTCCCCTTTGTTTTCCAGGAATTAAGTCCTTCATCTTCCACCTGATTTCTGAAAAAGTATGCAGTGTGGAGTAGGGGGAAGGTATAATAGATGTAATAGATGAAATAGATGTAATAGATGAATAGATGTAATAGATGAAATCAGACTTAAAGAGCAGCAAGAAATGGAAACTTGGTCCCAAGACACCAGGGGGGAATTCAATATTGCCTGTCTATTGGCCAAAGCTTCTATTTTTTAAAGATTTTATTTATTTATTTGAGAGAGAGAGTTATGGAGAGAGCGAGAGACAGAGAGAAAGGTCTTCCATCTGCTGGTTCACTCCCCAGATGGCTGCAATGGCCAGAGCTGAGCTGAAAAACTAGGAGCTAGTTTCTTCTGGGTATTCCATGAGGCTGGGGCCCAAGGACTTGGCCCATCTTAGAACTGGATCGGAAGCGGAGAAGCCAGGACTCAAAGTGGTGCCCATAAGGATGTTACTACAGGCAGATGCTTAGCCCATTATGCCACAATGCCAGCCTCCAAAGCTTCTAAAGCTTTTTTTTTTTTTACAATGGCTGATGCTTTCCTTAGGGATATCTCTAGGAAAATAGGGATTTGTAGCCCTCAAACTGATATATACCACCTCTGGGATAACTGGGAATTTAGGTTGAGAATTTGTTGATTAGAGTAATTTCATGGAAGCCACATACATGAGAATGGATGCAGACAGATCATCAAGGGTAAGAGTGGACCCCTGAAGTTTAGTAGAAAAAGAATTCTTGCTCTTGCTGGCAGGTAAAGTGCAATAGAGTCAGTTCTGATTAACCACAGACCTCTGGTTTTCCTGCAGCCAGGAAAACATCTTCATTTCTTCTGTCATGATAGAACACACCAAGCCTTTTCAAGAAACAGTTTCTGTGTTAGTTAGTCTATGCTGTGTGGGAAAAAACCACCTCAAAACATCTTGGCTTAAAATGATAGCTATTTATTTGGTTCATGATTAATCATCAGTTTAGATTATATTCAGCTGGACATGGCGTGGTTACTTATGTGTCAGAGGTCATTATCTAGGTCACTAGAGAACTGGTAGGGGTTTGAAGGACCTCAGCTGAGATGACTTACTTGGCTCCTCATGGACATTCTCCCTCCAGCAGGCTGGCCTGGATTTGTTCACATGGTTCCAGAAGGAAGAAACACTTAGAAGGAAATCTGCTTTCTTCAAGGAAGACAAAAAATTTCATAATCAAATACGGTTTCTTATCCATTTTGCTTCCCTATAAATGGACCTGTTTTTCTCTTCTCCTAAGAGGTGCCCCCGCATTATTGATTTTGTAAGGAATAAGTTACTGATTTTAGTCCCAAAATTACCCCCAAGAAAACTATAAGGGAGCACAGGCCAAAGCTGCCTCAGTCCCCTGGGCTGACTACTGTTTACTTAGAAAAGTCTTCTTTATTACATGGATAAGAAATCAAATACGTACCGATTGAGGAGTGCAAAATCCATTTACAAGGTTGGACTCCCTCAGATCCCCAAAGGGAAAACTCGAACCTGTTGGAGAAAAAGACAAAGGCAGTGTTGCTGCTGAGACAGCAGGCAATGCTACGAACTGCCTTGACTTGAGGACTGAGGCCCTCTTTGTAGTGCAGAAACGTGTGGGCCATTGGCCTTGTAAATAGTTAATGTGCAAATAAAAAAAATTAGGAATGAGGGAGGAGCATAAGGGATGATAAAAGGGATCAGGGAAGAAGAATGACAGTGAGAGACAAAAGGAAGTGAAGAGGTGAACAGAAGGGAGGTCAGCGGAGTTGTTGCTATATTGCTGGACAACAATTTCTGCAATAACACGCCCTTGCCCTCAAGACTGCTTTGTATCTGCAATGTCTAGAAATGGGAAGAACATCCAAGCAGAACTAGGTGTACATGTGACATTTACTTTGGGTGAAAAATTTAAGGGGGCACAAAAACCTTTCTGTAATCAAGACAAATGATATTCTTATGAAATATTTTGAAATATCAATATTAATGCAATGAATCTACAATAAACAAAATAGCAAAATTTTGAATAAATAGATTGCTGACATTTCCCTTTGTCTCAAGTATCCAATATGGTTCCACATAGAAGCATTTTATTTAAAAAAAATGTGGTATTTGTTCATCATGATTCTATGTTAATTTTTACTTTAAAAACACTTCACTAAAATGGTGTTGGTCTTTTTTTTAACTTTTATTTAGTAAATATAAATTTCCAAAGTACAGTTTATGGATTACAACAGCTTTCCCCCTCCATAACTTCCCTTCCACTCGCACCCCTCCCATCTCCCACTCCATCTCCCATTCCATTCACATCAAGATTCATTTTCAATTATCTTTATATACAGAAGATCAATTTAGTGTATATTAAGTAAAGATTTCATCAGTTTGTACCTACACAGAAACACAAACTATAAAATAATGTTTCAGTACTAGTTATAGCATTACTTCACATTGGACAACACATTAAGGACAGATCCCACATGAGGAGTAAGTATACCGTGACTCCTGTTGAGGACTTAAAATTTGATACTCTTGTTTATGGCGTCAGTAATCGCCCTAGACTCTAGTCATGAGTTGCCAAGGCTATGTAAGCTTCTTGAGTTTGCCGACTTCGATCTTATTCAGACAGGGTTATAGCCAAAGTGGAAGTTCTCTCCTCCCTTCAGAGAAAGGTACCTCCTTTTTGATGGCCCTGTTCATTCTACTGGGATCTCACTCGCAGAGCTCTGTCATTTAGGTCTTCTTTTTTATTATTTATTTATTTATTTTTCCAGAGTGTCTTGGCTTTGCATGCCTAAGATACTTTCATGGGCTCTTCAGCCAGATCCGAATGCCTTAAGGGCTGATTCTGAGGCCAGAGTGCTGTTTAGGATATCTGCCATTCTATGAGTCTGCTGTGTATCCTGCTTCCCATGTTGAATCGTTCTCTCCCTTTTTGATTCTATCAGTTAGTATTAGCAGACACTAGTCTTGCTTATGTGATCCCTTTGACTCTTAGACCTATCAGTGTGATCAATTATGAACTGAAATTGATCACTTGGACTAGTATGATGGGGCATTGGTACATGCCACCTTGATGGGATTGAATTGGAATCCCCTGGCACATTTCTAACTCTACCATTTGGGGCAAGTCAGCTTGAGCATGTCCCAAATTGTACATCTCCTCCTTCTCTTATTCCCACTCTTATATTTAACAGGGATCACTTTTCAGTTAAATTTAAACACCTAAGAAAAATTGTGTGTTGATCACAGAGTTCAACCAATAGTACTAGAACAAAAAAAAAAATACTAATAGGGGTAAAGTATTACATTGTACATCAACAGTCAGGTCAAGGGCTGATCAAGTCACCATTTCTCATAGTGTCCATTTCACTTCAACAGGTATCCCCTTTGGTGCTCAGTTAGTTGTTGCCAATCAGGAAGAACATATATTTGTCCCTTTGGAACTGGCTTAATTCACTCAGCATAATGTTTTCCAGATTCCTCCATTTTGTTGCAAATGACCAGATTTCATTGTTTTTGACTGCTGTAGAGTATTCTATAGCGTACATGTCCCATAATTTCTTTATCCAGTCTACTGTTGATGGACATTTGGGTTGGTTCCAGGTCTTCGCTATTGTGAATTGAGCTGCAATAAACATTAAGGTGCAGACAGCTTGTTTGCTTGCCAGTTTAATTTCCTCTGGGTAAATTCCAAGGAGTGGGATTGCTGGGTTGTATGATAGGGTTATATTCAGGTTTCTGAGGAATCTCCAGACTGACTTCCATAGTGGCTTAACCAGTTTGCATTCCCACTAACAGTGGATTAGTGTTCCTTTTTCCCACATCCTCTCCAGCATCTATTGTTGGTAGATTTCTGTATATTTGCCATTCTAACCGGGGTGAGGTGAAACCTCATTGTGGTTTTGATTTGCATTTCCCTGATTGCTAGTGATCTTGAACATTTTTTCATGTGTCTGTTGGCCATTTGGATTTCCTCTTTTGAAAAATGTCTATTGAGTTCCTTGGCCCATCTCTTAAGTGGGTTGTTTGTTTTGATGTTGTGGAGTTTCTAGATTTCTTTGTAGATTCTGGTTATCAACCCTTTTTCTGTTGCATAGTTTGCAAATATTTTTTCCCATTCTGTGGGTAGCCTCTTCACTTTCCTGACTGTTTGTTTCTTTTTCAGTACAGAAACTTCTCAATTTGATGCAATCCCAAATGTTAATTTTGGCTTTGACTGCCTGTGCTTCTGGGGTCTTTCCAAGAAGTCTTTGCCAGTACCTATATCTTGCAGGGTCACTCCAATGTTCTCTAATAATTTTATGGTGTTGGGTCATAGATTTAAGTCTTTAATCCATGTTGAGTTGATTTTTGTGTAAGGTGATAGGTAGTGGTCTTGCTTCATGCTTCTGCATGTGGAAATCCAATTTTCCCAGCACCATTTATTGAATAGACTGTCCTTACTCCAGGGATTGGTTTTGGATCCTTGATCAAATATGAGTTGGCTGTAGATGTTTGGATTGATTTCTGGTGTTTCAATTCTGTTCCATTGGTCTATCCATCTGTTTCTGTACCAGTACCATGCTGTTTTGATAACAACTGCCCTGTAGTATGTCCTGAAATCTGGCATTGTGATGCCTCCGGCTTTGTTTTTGTTGTACAAGATTGCTTTAGCTATTCGAGGTCTCCTGTGTCTCCATATGAATTTCAGCATCATTTTTTCCAGATCTGAGAAGAAGGTCTTCGGTATTTTGATTAGTATCGCATTGAATATATAAATTGCTTTTGGGAGAATGGACATTTTGATGATATTGATTCTTCCAATCCTTGAGCATGGAAGATTTTTCCATTTTTTGGTATCCTCTTCTATTTCTTTCTTTAAGATTTTGTAATTTTTATCGTAGAAATCTTTAACACCCTTGGTTAAGTTTATTCTAAGGTATTTGATTGTTTTTGTTGCTATTGTGAATGGGATTGCTCTTAGCAGTTCTTCCTCAGCCATGGCATTGCCTGTGTATACAAAGGCTGTTGATTTTTGTGCATTGATTTTATATCCTACCACTTTGCCAAACTCTTCTATGAGTTCCAATAGTCTCTTAGTAGAGTTCTTTGAGTCCCCTAAATAAAGAATCATATCATCTGCAAAGAGGGATAGTTTGAGTTCTTCCTTCCCAATTTGTATCCCTTTAATTTCTTTTTCTTGTCTGATGGCTCTGGCTAAAACTTCCAGAACTATGTTAAATAGCAGTGGTGAGAGTGTGCATCCCTGTCTGGTACCAGATCTCAGTGGAAATGCTTCCAAATTTTCCCCATTCAATAGGATGTTGGCCGTGGGTTTTTCATAAATTGCTTTGATTGTATTGAGGAATGTTCCTTCCATACCCAGTTTGCTTAGAGTGTTCGTCATGAAAGGGTGTTGTATTTTATCAAATGCTTTCTCGGCATCTATTGAGATAATCATATGGTTTTTCTTCTGCAGTCTGTTAATGTGGTGTATCCCATTGATTGTTTTGCGAATATTGAACCATCCCTTCATGCCAGGGGTAAATCCCACTTGGTCTGGGTAGATGATCTTTCTGATGTGTTGTTGCATTCTATTGGCCAGAATTTTATTGAGGACTTTTGCATTTATGTTCATCAGGGATATTGGTCTGTAATTCTCTTTCAATGCTGCATCTTTTTCCAGCTTAGGAATAAACGTGATGCTGGCTTTCTAGAAAGAATTTGGGAGGATTCCCTCTTTTTTGATTGTTCTGAATAGTTTGAGAAGAATTAGAGTTAGTTCTTCTTTAAATGTCTGGTAGAATTCAGCAGTGAATCCATCTGGTCCTGAGCTTTTCTTTGTTGGGAGGGCCTTTATTTTGTTTCAATTTCTGTCTCAGTTATGCATCTGTTTAGGTGTTGTATGTCTTCCTAGTCCAATTTAGGTAGGTTACATGTGTCCAGGAATCTATCCATTTCTGATAGATTTCCCTGTTTGCTGGCATACAAGTCATTGTAGTAATTTCTGATGATTCTTTTTATTTCTGTGGTGTCTGTTGTTACGTTTCCTTTTTCATCTTTGATTTTATTGATTTGGGTCTTTTCTCTTCTTTTTTTAGTTAGTTGGGCCAATGGGGTGCCAATTTTGTTTATTTTTTCAAAAAACCAGCTCCTTTTCTGGCTGATTTTTTGTAATTTTTTTTTGATTCAATCCTGTTGATTTCTTCTTGGATTTTAATTATTTCTCTTCTCCTACTAGATTTGGGTCTGGTTGCTGCAGATTTTCTAGATCCTTGAGATGCATTGAAAGCTCATTTATTTTGTGCTTTTCCAATTTCTTGATACAGGCACCTATTGATATAAACTTTCCTCTTAACATTGCTTTTGCTGTATCCCATAAGTTTTGGTATGTTGTACTGTTATCCTCATTTACTTCCAAAAAGTTTTTGATTTCTGTTTTGATTTCTTCTATGACCCATTGTTCATTCAGGAGCATGTTGTTCAATCTCCATGTGTTTGCATATGCTCTAGGGATTCCTGAGTTGCTAAT